ACAGTAAAATTAAATCAGCTCACCAATAGGTTAACAGACTCAATGACATCCATGAAGACTTCATTTTTCCTGTATTTGATGCCCTCTGACCTCCAAGACACAGCATTTGTTACTGTAGCTGGGGGCCGTGGCGCTCCCACATCCAGCTTATGCCCCTGTTGGGTGATGTACCTGTCGTGGAAGTTTAAAAAGGCCGTTAGGTCACGGTAACAATAACAATGACCAAGAAAACAACAGCCAGCATAAAAGTATTTATATTTATATCATTATCTTATATTATGCAGATTAATTATTATATCAGCCCATGAGTGTATGCCAGCTTTTATTATGTGATGAACATTATTATGTCATGATGTCAATCTGTCACAGGCTTAACTATACAGATCTAATTAGATTTCAATTAAAAGGAGTCAGTGAAGCAAGTAACGTCAGTAGGTATGTAAACAGACCTCTGGTGTTAGAATGCTGAGAGAACTAGGACTCATGAGAAGAACATGGCTGCCCCTAGGGACAGACAGACCGAAAAACACCTGACATTGTTTGTCTTTTTTTTTTTCACTCATATTACTGTAATGTTTTCTTTACCACGCATAATAAAATAATTCAGTGTGAACACTAACATTCGAGTGAGTGTTCAATCACCCCTGATGAACATTAGCATCCTATTTAAAACACCAAAACAAACCACTAAATATTCAATACAGGTTTACTCATTCATTACAAATCGATTCTACATCAGTGTTGTTTTTAGAACAAGGTCTGAGAACTGTAGATGTGTATGTGTGTGTGCTCAAACCTCAAGTGTCCCCAGCTGACAGGGTATTGTGTTGCTGTCAGTGAGAGCTAGCAATAATTAGCTATCCGCTAAGTGGTTGCTTGCAAAGCCAAGAAACTGATAAGCACTTACAAAACTGAAAGATGTTTATGAAGAACAAATTATATGTTTTTTTGTTTTGTTTTTTGTTTTCTTTATCCTTTTATCATATGCTGGACAAGAAAATGTATATTGTGTTTTCCTGTTACATTGTTTATTTAGCATGTTCTTCTTTTATGTTCACGATTTTTAAATGCCCCGAATGTCAGCTAAAAATGCTGTATAAGTAAATGTACTGTAACATGGTCACTGTAAAAAATATTTTCAAGATTTGTTATCACAACATATTTTCTTTTGTCAAATCAACTTTATAATTATTTATTTAGTTGAGATAACTTATTATTTTGAGTTTCTGTTGGTTAAATTAATCTACTTCATTGTATTAACTCACTTTTTCCAGTTCAATCAACTTAAAATTTTAAGGCGACCCGGGTTACTTACTTTTTTAAGTTAAACCAACAATATGTTTTACAGTGTAGTAATCATAACATTTTTTTCTTTTGTCAAATCAACTTAAATAATTTATTTAGTTCAGATAACATATAATTTTGAGTTTCTGATGGTTAAATTAATCTCATTCATTGTATTAACTCACTTTTTCCAGTTCAATTAACTTAAAATTTTAAGGCAACCAGGTTACTTACTTTTTTAAGCTAAACCATCAATATTTTTTTTACAGTGAAAGACGGCTGGTCATGTGATATTAACCCTCTCAATGAAAAAACAAAGCAGGTTGTTTTAATAATGTTTTTAAGCTAACACAAGCTCACATTTTGCATTTTGAATTTTATTTAATCTTCCTAATGGATAAACCATTGGAAGAGACAGAGAGAAGTCTGTAGTTCCACTGGGAGCTCAAATTATGATTCAAAATGTAACATATGCATCTATGAATTGTTCACATTAAGACCAATAACATTGTTTTAGAAAATAGATAGAATGAATTTGAATTTTATGGCGACATTTTAAAATGTCCCTTTATGCTTACAACATTACATTTCTCTGGTCCAATCATCTTTCTGTGTAATATAAAAAAACTATTTACTGCATTTTGTCAAACTGTCCTCTCTGCACAAAGCATATACAGTGACTTATGAATAGCACTAAGCTTGAATAATGAATGGCGATGCTTCATTGCGCTGTTAGTGAAGGATGAATAGTGTTCTCTGAGGAGTGATGGTTGAATGGTGAGTCTGTCAAAACTTACTCTAGCAAGATCTTGCTGTCAGTGGTCTGAGGGAATCCAAAGTCCATGACTTCATCCATTAGCTCATACACTGTCACGAAATTGTCTCGAATGCTCTCTTCTTCCAGTGACTTAAAATATTCAATGAACACCTGCAAACAAATGGTCAAAACAAGATTACTTTAACTACACAATGTATACACAATATTAAAGTAAGGGATTGTTTACACAGACAAAAAGATTGTGCTGTGCAAGGTTTTATTGAAGCATTGTCATGTTTATAGATATAAAACTCACTTACCTCAACTAATTTGTACAAGAAGGAGTATACAAGAGCAGCATTGGTATTTTTCTTTGTTACTGCAACCACTGAGTAAAATCTGTTAAGTGGTTAATACGCTAAAAATTCACGCAACTATTACTGAACAACAGTAGGAAAAATATTCTCAAAAGTAGTGGAAGATTATATTTTTACATTTACAAGCATATGGAGGATACAGTACAGGTTGCTGTGCTTGATCCAGAGGAAGTGAGTGGAGCCATGAATAACCACTGGTGACAAATCTGCATCTTCCTCTCTCTTCATCATTATGGGCATGAAGTGGTCAATCTCATTGGCGTCTATGTTGCCCATGTAGTTCCGGCATATAAGCACCTTAGAGATGGAAACAAAGTTGAAAGCTTAAAAGTTAACACTTGTAATAAATTCCAAAAGGCCAAAAGGACTCTTACCGTATAAGGTTTATTTGCATAGAGTCAAACCAACATGAGAAAATGTTTACAGCACAATCAATAAGAGTTATCAACCAATATCAAATCAAATGCTTAACCTTTGCACTTTACTGGTGCATTAAGAAGTATTAGGGTGATACCTAAAGGATAAGAGAAATATCACTTTAACGTGGCTGGTGTTAAGGTATTCCTTCAGATGAAGATATTGGATTGCTCTAGGGCAGAGGCAAGAGTGCTTTCATCAGCACTGCCAAAATCCAGGGTTATATTGGAAGGTAATCCATTCCAATGAGACCCTAAGGATCCGTTTTCATGGAAACAATCCTATCCACCCATTACAAACTAATGTAATCTGAGCTTCTCTATAAATATCTTTATATTCTCTTATATATTATATATAAACATTAAAATATTTTATTTACATGTTATGCTATGCCCTCTTTTGAGGACACCAGGGCTAATTTTCTTTAAATAAAAGACATAAATAAACATAGGCAAAAACAATGCTATATTTTTTTTTAATAGGCAAGCATTTTTAGGCATTTTTAGGTTTAGAGGATTTTTTATAAAACTTTTTATAAAGATGATTCTCAGATATGTTAAGAAATATATAACAGAATTATACAGAATGATATACCATTTTACTTTATGCAATATGTGGAAAAGCGGGTTTCCCTATTTTATACAATGTATCAATACATTGTAACTAATTTGCATATTAATGTGTTCTTGAAACAACATGTAATGAAAAAAACTAAGCACAATAATGGGAATAGTAATTGGCAATATTTTCATAAAAATATGATTTCATGGGAATATTGAAATTGAATTTCTTTCCCTGTTCACTTGTTTGTCTCCCAAAATGCCTGATAAACATGATTTAAGTCTTGTGTGGTCGTATAGTCTTACACACGACAGTGTTTGTATGAAATTTTGATTTGAAACCCCATAACACTTTCCTGAGATGTTTATTTGTTTACAAACAATTCAAAAATTAGTCAGTTTTAAATGATAATTACAAAATATGATCGAATTTCCATAAGAGTATTAAATTCGGTCATTAAATTAATGTTGGTCATTTTTAAACTCCAAGGAGAGGCAGCTGTCATTGTGAAACTTCCATGGGGTGAGGTATACTGTAATTGTTGGATTAAAAATACTATAGGACATGTACAAAATTTAAATATAAGCCATATTTTGTTGTTGCAACAGCATTTACATAGTAATAAATGTAAAACATGAACAGTGCAACTTCCTTGAGTGAAAGTGCTGGTCACTTTAAAAGTGATGATGTGGAGTGTTTCTGTCTTGTGCCATTTTGACATCATTAGCCTAGTTGTTTTAAAATCGTTGAAGTGAGTAAGTACATAGAATTTACTTTTGCAATTGATCTTTAAACCTCAATTATCTGTAGCCATGTAGGTTTCAAATAAACTGAAACAGTCTCTGCTGAGAGAATGAAATGTTCGACCTTCCTCCGACAGGTGCACGCGCTCTTACCTTGCCTTTCAAGTCCAGGATGAAGATCGCGGACGCTGACATCGCTATCAAAGTTGTTGTATGACAAGAAGTAACTGACAGGTCCTGAAGTTTCGTCAATTCTGGTAAAGTTTAATCACTCGAAAAAATGAAGCGTTTCTTATTCCCTTCCCCATCCCTTACACACGCATCTTCCGGGTTTAGAGGCGTCTAACCGGTTGTGCCGCTTGAGCTTGTTGCTGTGCTGTACACTCAACTGTGAGAGACGCGACGCGTCCAAACTAGAACCCATAGACATTATGTCTATGACTAGAACCAGCCATTAAAACAATAGTTAACCAACGCTGTTCTAGTTTTGACGCGTCGCTCGATTGCAATGTAGATAGGGGCGGTGTAGCTTCAACTAGGTGACAAAACATGCTAGGATAATATGGATGCCATTTAATGTTCAATTTGTCTTATAAGTAAGTAAGTAAACTTTATTTATATAGCACTTTTCACAGACATGTAGGGTCACACAAGTGCTTCACAGTAAAAAAATAATAATAAAAGAAATAAAAACCACAACACACATTACATCAACACCATAGCTATAGTTAAAAATTTGAAAAATATCGCTGTGTTTATAACCTCTATAGGCCTGCCATTTATAAACTGTAATAAAATTATAATCATTTATATCTAGGCAATAGATATTGGCGGCGCCCAGTGGCCAATATAAGAAAAACATTGAAAAATAAAAACCATTTAATTCAGAAATAAATTGAAACAAGTACAAGTACAAACACAAGAAAAAAAATGTATATTTTCCAGAACGCAAGGAATAGTCAATGCAAATTCAAGAAGGACAACTCATTAAAGGTTAATTATTATTAATATGATTCATGAGGGTGGTAAATTACATCATGACTTAAAATAAATTTTTATAATAACTATCATTAACAATGTTAACAAATATTGTATAAAATGCTTAACATAGGCTATTAAGGCCTACATTAAAATGTAATTTAACTTAGGCTATTATAAATGTGTCTGATTTATACATTTTCAAAAACTTTCATAAAGTGTCCCTAGAAACTATTTGGACATCTATATACAAATGTATGAATTTTATTTCGTTATAAGATATAAGACATTACACCAAGTGGCTTTTTAATCGTTCTCTGAGTCATACGTCTTTTAATGTGGCTTAAGTGTTCAAATATTAATGGGGACACTGTATTCATTTTCTCAATTAATCATTCAATGAATAGTTTACGAAAATAAGAGTCGACTTAATGTGGCTAACCAATACTAAATTCAATTTCCTCCTCCTCATCATCATCGTCAGTCAGTGCTGCTGCTCTTGTGGCTCTCTCACTCTCACTTGCTTGAATGTAGTTATCTTCAATGAACCCATCGTCATCCTCTTCGATGTCATCAGTATGTGCAGCTGCGCGAGTCCCTGGGCCACCATGGGTCGAGAATCCCACCTCAAAGTTGGCAGGGTCACACTGACTCGTACCATCTACTTCGCTGAGCCTGGAGTGTCTGTAGCTTGCTAGATACTTGTGCACGACTTTGCATTTAGCCATCACAGCGATAAGAACGGAGAGGCTGATAGCTGACACCAGAACAGCCACAAGGACCTTCCAGCTCTCTGAAGAGGTTTTGGGATCATCAGTGGGATTTGAGCCTGAAAAAATATATATTATAGTGGTTAGCTGAGTCTCAGCTGAATGTTGGAATTACAAAGGAATTCACAGGTAATAATGTACATTAATAAAGAAAAAAGATTTTGACCATTAATTGTACTGTTTGAGGTTGTTTTCACTACGAGTAGTTTACGGAGGAAGGCTCCACGGTTGACATCCTCAGAATATCCTGCCATGAGAAAAATAAATCATTTTCATCAATGATTGTGAATGTCCATTTCCATACCTCAATCAAGAAGAAATGTCTTGAGGCACTCAAATAGATATTTTCTGTCCATATAAAATATATTTAATGCAGAGAAAGTGAATACTTGAAATACATGAATACATGAAATGGTTGTAAGATGTGACTGTTGCCCTCGTTTCTTTATTGAATTTAGTGCAACATTGCAAAAATGCAATTCACTTATAATTATTGGAATACACATTGTTTATGATGAGCTGTTTGTTTATTTATTGCTGTTTTAAAATTTATTTAAATGGTATTATTTTGGAGGGGGCAAAAATGGCAGGGTGATACAACTGTTGTGATAACATAATGGAGAAAAAAAGAAAATGTAGTTTGACATAATCTTGCAGGCTATTATTATTTCTACGGGAAAAAAAATACTTCACTGTATATTAATAATTGAAAAACGTGGTAACACTTTACAATATGGTCCATTATTTAACATTACGTGAGCTTAGAATTATAAGGTTCTATCTCCGTTTCGGTTAGTTCCGAGATATTGAGCATCAAAGTTTTTACATCCCAGCTGGCAAAACTGTTATATAATCTTCTATTATAGCTTTATCTATTAATCTTTTTTTTTTTACAAAAATAACACCACACAGGCATTAATAAACACCTAATGGATCAGATTATGTCAAAAACTCAATTTTGACCAAAAGTGGAGATAGAACCTTATAATTCTAAGCTCACGATTAGTTAATGTATTAACTGACATGAACTAACCATGAGCAATACATTTGTTACTGTATTTGTTAATCTCCATTGATGTTAATTCAAATAAAGCTGTTCATTGTTTTGTTTATGTTTGTTCATGGCGCATTAACTAATGTTAACAAGAATTGAATAAAGTATTAGTAAATACTGAAATTAACATTTACAAAGATTAATAAATGCTGTATAAGTGCAGTTCATTATTAGTTCATGCTGACTAATGTAGTTAACTAATGTTAACTAACCTTATTGTAAAGTGTTACCAAAAACGTTGTCTACCGTAGTGGTAGGGAAAATGGATAAAACTAGGAATATGTGACTGTGTCAATGTCAGTAAGTTTTAAAATATAATAACAGATCATTTTACCTTTTTTATAACAAAGCAAGGTTACCTCAGATTGTTAAATGTCATTTTGCATGACTTGCCAAAAATGTTATCATGTTTATAGATTTAAAATTCATGATAACAACGTGTTATGGATTCAATATTTAAAAACATTTTTGAAAATAATGATTAGGATGGTTATTACATTTTACTCGATGGTTATTATGACATGACATTTTTAAAGTAATTTAAAAAAAACTTTTTCTTGAAAATGGTAAAAAAAAAAAAATCTATAGCCTATGTAACCATAATGAAATCAAAGAGTATATTTAAAAGGAAAAGAACCTAGACGATACGTCACTGACCCAAGTAGTGAACAAAGTATACAAGACGATAGTTTTCATACCATCATTGTGGTGATCCTGTGTCATGTGTTTTGAGTGTCTGATCCTCATTACTATGTTTCCCACTTCCTGTCTGATATTCAGTTCTCCTCCGAGTTGACCAAACTGGTTCAATCTCAGGTCTCGAACTGCAGCAGATGGAATGTTCCCCAGAAAGAGCATCTGTAATCTGGAGAGGCTGGTCAGAGCGTTTGCCTCCACTGCGGCCAGTTTGCACCTACTCAGATCTAGTACCTCAAGAGAAGAGAGGCTGTAAAGATGTTCTTTTAACAGTAGGGGGAGGTAGTTGCCTGATAGGTTCAGTTTGAGCAAGTGGTTGAAGAGGTTCAAACGCTTGAAGCCGTCACTGTGAGTTAAGTCTAACTTATTGTCGGACAGGTCCAACTCGGTCACATTCATCCAGATGTGCTGTGGTACCGACGTAAGTGTTTTCCCACTGCAGTCAAATGCAGCCTAGAGAAAGAATTAAGAATTATATGGTTGCGAAACTTACTTCTGGAGTCAGCACCAAACAAGTCTTCTCCAATGAAATAGTGAGGATAAAAACTGCTTTTACATAAAATATCATTTTTGCTCTGTTCTATGAAGATTTAAAAGATAAAAAGAGAAGATTACCCACTTGTCGTTTCAAATAAGAAACTTTTAATTTTTTTTTTTTCTTACTGACTGGGTAAACCTCTTGTCACCAAAAACAGGAAACAAGTGCTTACAAACAGGATACTCCTGATGTAGCAGCACTTGCTCTGGCTCAGGGAACAAAAGAGGCCAGTGTGTGTGTGTGTGTGTTGTTTTTCCTCACCGTCTCTCTGTTGACTGTACATGGGCCCACGGTCTGGAGTGTGTAGCATGATCCTGAGACCCCAAAACACAGGAGCACACACACTGTGTGCGCAGCAGACCCCATGTTTTCCTACTTCCTGTAGAAATCACAATTTAATAGCAACCACAGAAGTGGCGTTTAGTTCTGCAAGAGTTTGAGTTCTGCTGCAACTTTAAAAATATACAACATTATATAATTTTTAGTGCTGTCAAATTGATTAATCGCATCTAACATAAAAGTTTGTATATATGTTATTATACTATACACATATATGTATACAGTACATTAGTGCTGTCAAATCGAGTAATCGAGATTAATTGCATTTAACAAAAGTTTTGTTTAGGTATGTGTTCATATATGAATGGGTCGATCAGAACACAAAGCAGAATTTTTTTTGCCTGAACTGCTAAATTTTATACATTATTTAACTTTTTAGCAAACAAATGGGTATTAAATATGCAATATATATATATATATAATTGTGATGCCGGTACCGTGGTGTGGCAGAAACACGGGAAGGCGGCTGGATCCAAACGCAGTTTACAGGCTTTATTTAGACAAACTACATACGTAGACAAAGACTCAGATACATAACTCAAAAGCACGAGCAATTAACGCCGACAACACACGTACAACAACTCACAAACTAAGACAGAAACACAGGGCTTAAATAATCAGACAAGCAAACTTAACAATGTAACAAGGGGGCGTGGACAATAGGAAACACCTGGAAAACTCAATAGACAGGGAACCACTAATAATACAAACACAAAGATACAAAACCACATCATGACAGAGCCCCTCCCCTAAGGGCGGCTCCTGACGCCCATAAAAACAACAAAAAGTTCAGGTGGGCGGTGAAGCGGAGGCGGTCTGGGGGAGGGACGGAGGGCCAGGCCCGTGCAGGGGAACGGGACCAGGAGGTAGCCAAGGCGAGCCTGGGCCGCAGAGCGTGGGCGGAGCAGGACGGGGCGAAGGCCAGGGCGGAGCAGGACGGGGCGAAGGCCAGGGCGGAGCAGGACCGGGCGAAGGCCAGGGCGGAGCAGGACCGGGCGAAGGCCAGGGCGGAGCAGGACCGGGCGAAGGCCAGGGCGGAGCAGGACCGGGCGAAGGCCAGGGCGGAGCAGGACCGGGCGACCACGGCGGTGAAGACCTTTCAGGAGACCACGGCGGTGAAGACCCCTCGGCCGCCCACGGCGGTGAGGACCCCTCGGGCGACCACGGCGGTGCAGGAAAAGATGAAGGACATGTCTGTATCGCCTCCATGGCCCTCACAAGGTACCCACTGCCCCCCCCCCCAAAAAATACTTGGGGAAATCCACGGGAATCCACCGGGGCTTAAAGGCTGCAGGAAAGGCGAGGCGCAGAGGCGGGGCCGGCAAGGCGAGGCGCAGAGGCGGGGCCGGCAAGGCGAGGCGCAGAGGCGGGGCCGGCAGGGCGAGGCGCAGAGGTATGCTCACCGGAGTCTGGCGAACTAAAGGAGTCCTCCTTCTCCTCCTGCGGCAGCGTCTCACTTGGCTTGATTGTTTTGCTGGACCTGAAGATTCACCCGCTGGGCCTGAAGTAGACTCGCTCGCTTGAACTGGAGAAGACTCGCTCGCTTGAACTGGAGAAGACTCGCTCGCTTGAACTGGAGAAGACTCGCTCACTTGAACTGGAGAAGACTCGCTCACATGAACTGGAGAAACTCGCTCACATGAACTGGAGAAGACTCGCTCACATGAACTGGAGAAGACTCGCTCACTTGAACTGGAGAAGACTCGCTCACTTGAACTGGAGAAGACTCGCTCACATGCTCACTTGAACTGGAGAAGACTCGCTCACTTGAACTGGAGAAGACTCGCTCACTTGAACTGGAGAAAACTCGCTCACATGAACTGGAGAAGACTCGCTCACTTGAACTGGAGAAGACTCGCTCACTTGAACTGGAGAAGACTCGCTCACATGCTCACTTGAACTGGAGAAGACTCGCTCACTTGAACTGGAGAAGACTCGCTCACTTGAACTGGAGAAGACTCGCTCACTTGAACTGGAGAAGACTCGCTCACTTGAACTGGAGAAGACTCGCTCACATGAACTGGAGAAGACTCGCTCACATGAACTGGAGAAGACTCGCTCACATGAACTGGAGAAGACTCGCTCACTTGAACTGGAGAAGACTCGCTCACTTGAACTGGAGAAGACTCGCTCACATGCTCACTTGAACTGGAGAAGACTCGCTCACTTGAACTGGAGAAGACTCGCTCACTTGAACTGGAGAAAACTCGCTCACATGAACTGGAGAAGACTCGCTCACTTGAACTGGAGAAGACTCGCTCACTTGAACTGGAGAAGACTCGCTCACATGCTCACTTGAACTGGAGAAGACTCGCTCACTTGAACTGGAGAAGACTCGCTCACTTGAACTGGAGAAGACTCGCTCACTTGAACTGGAGAAGACTCGCTCACATGAACTGGAGAAGACTCGCTCACATGAACTGGAGAAGACTCGCTCACATGAACTGGAGAAGACTCGCTCACATGAACTGGAGAAGACTCGCTCACATGAACTGGAGAAGACTCGCTCACATGAACTGGAAATTCACTCGCGGGGCTTGAGTGAAGTGCATACTCGTCGGGGCTCATGCGAAGCGCGGGCTCGGCTGTGCTGACGTGAGTCCAGGTCAAATTAATGTACACGTGAAGCCCGGATTCGTCAGGAAGCAGTTCTGGTTCGTCCTGGCTGAATTGGACCAGTGGCGAAGAAGGTGACGAAGGCTTCACGGGTAAAGTACACTTGGCAGGTGTCGAGTAGAATAAGCGTGTAGTAGCGAAGAGGTCTTCCAAGGAACAAGCCCGAGCGATATACCTGTCAAGAGTCCAGTTGGTAAGGTCCCGCGGCATCCATCGAGCGATCTCGTAATCCAGCCCATTCCGAAACAGGTCCATGAGCTGGATATCATCTAGCGCTCCTAGATGGCAAATGGTCAGGAAATCCTTCGCGTACCTTTGAACCAACTGGCCCTCTTGCAAGAAAGATGACAGGTATTCTATCAGAGCCCGGTTGCTGATGACTGCTGGATCCATTTCGTGGTGAGTTGTTCTGTGATGCCGGTACCGTGGTGTGGCAGAAACACGGGAAGGCGGCTGGATCCAAACGCAGTTTACAGGCTTTATTTAGACAAACTACATACGTAGACAAAGACTCAGATACATAACTCAAAAGCACGAGCGATTAACGCCGACAACACACGTACAACAACTCACAAACTAAGACAGAAACACAGGGCTTAAATAATCAGACAAGCAAACTTAACAAGGTAACAAGGGGGCGTGGACAATAGGAAACACCTGGAAAACTCAATAGACAGGGAACCACTAATAATACAAAGACAAAGATACAAAACCACATCATGACAATAATATGTTATTAGGATTTGTGACACCAGACTGCATAGGACAATGGTCAATTGTAAAGTTTAGTCATCATTGTGCAAATTTAACCACAGTAGCCTATGCTGCAACTGTCACATAATAAGTTGTAATAAGGGCAATAAAGTACAAAAAAATGGCTGTACAAAACAATAAAGTCAATGTGTTCTGCTACAATGCATTTCAAGGAACTTGTTCAAATGACCATAACACAAAAACAAAATCTGGGTAGTTAATGATTGCACATATGCAAGATCGAAAATCAATCATAAATCCAATAATAAAGTTGTGTTATGTACTGCATATGTATGAAATAAATAGTGCTTTATAGTTTTCACTTCTCAGGCTCTCAGCATTTCCTGCTTATCTCCTTGTGACTTGCACAGCGGCTGCTTTTCAAAGAGGGTTCAATCATTTTTCATAAGGGCCCTTCCTCTCACTCCCTCACTCTCCCACTATTCATTTCAGCACTGCTGGCAGTAAACACTCCAAAGGAGCCACTTTTATCTCTTCCTTTCTCAGGACACCCCCATAACAGCATACCTGTCCTGCAGGATTTTAAAGCCAGCCAAAAGGAAGAGTCTCTATGTGTTTATATCATTGTAAAAGCGAGTAAGATAGGTTCAGAAAAGGTGTGGTAGAAGTACTGCTTGGATCTTGAGTTGTCCTTTAGTTGTCCTTTATCTTCTTATGCTACTTGTAAATTAACAGATGCTTTCGCAGACCTCACTGTATGGGTCCAAACATAAACGCCACAAAAATGAGTCTTTCACTTGACCTCCCCAAGATCTTGTTTATACATACACACCGTCCTGCGTTGTTTGTTACTGATTACATTGGGCACTAACAACTTTGCATAGTTGTCGTCGCATATAAAAGTGACTGAAAACTATGCTTTTCAACAGCTTTTGACCCATCAGTTAAATTGCAACCTGCATGAAGTTTGTGAAATTTTAGCCTTTTTTTTTTTTTTTTACAACTATTAAGTTTGCGTTTATCTTTAATATAGGCCTATGTCTTTTTTTTTTTTTAATCAGCATTATTGCAATACACAATATAACAACAGAATAAGAGTTGGATGAAGCCTACCTTTTCAAATGTTCCTGTCATACATTAGACAAGATTGTTAAGTCTTATCCGTCAGTTTAGCAAGTAGGTGCGGTTGACTACTGATTCTCATAATAGCCCACCTTACCTTCCCTAGCAGTTGGCATGTTGTGGTTGACAACAGAATGTAAAATAACATGAGGGTTGATAGGAATGTTATAACATTAGCAACCTAGAAGTATTTATTAAAAGATATTATCCTCCTGCTCATTCATGCCAACAAGATTTGGCACACATGGGACTTTGCAATGCTATTGTCATGTTACAAGCTGTAACAAACATATACATATATAATGATGAATGTAAGCATCAGCATTCAGTGAAAAAGTGCATATGAGGCAACTTACCTGAGATATGGCTCTTCTGGTTATTAAGAATATGTCTAAACTGTTTGTTTTTTTTCTCTTCAGTAGTCACATTTTATCATGGACAGGTTCATTTTTGTTAGCCATTTCCAAGATTAAGGAAATGGCAGGTAGGTTGTGCAAAGGTTGCGGGAGGTGTGTCTTTAGCATGCCATTCTCAGAGAAAGTTAATTTGTAACTGAATGTTGAATGGATCACTGCTTTTTCTCTATCACCTTGCAGGTGACATTTGAACTGATGGCAAGAATAAATGATCTTAACCTGAAGTGTTCGGTGCAGTTGGTGGTCGATTTAGTTCTCAGACACTCCCATACAAAAATGTAATATATGGCCTTATATATTTACTTATATTTTAAATAGCATGACATATATCTCAACGCATTCTCACCCCAAGGCGTCACCTTTGACCATGCTTCAATATTTGACGTTTTAGGCGCCCTTTAGCGTCACTTACATGACGCGATCCTACGGCGTCATCTAACTGACGCTAAAGGAAAGCGTCAGTTACAGGACGCGGTTAGTTTTAGGTGTGGGGTGGGGGTAGGGTACACGCGATCCTAGGGCGTCATCTAACTGACGCTAAAGAGCGCCTAAAGCGTCAGATATTGAAGCATGTCCAAATGAGAATGGGCTGTATATCTATACATATATTTGACTTATCTGAGAACACAATATATGCCTGCAACATATATGAACATTTATGTGTCCAAACATGTGAAGAAAATATTTGAGTTCATCCATATATGCTATCATACATCTGCATACATTTCAGTATAGTATTGGTTTCTCACATATATGGACAACATTAAGTATAAATATGTGACATATATTTGTTTCCCACATATTTAATAAATGTATGTAAACATACATGCCTGTGATACTGATGCATTTTTAAAGCTGTGGCATATGGTTATACTTTGTGGATTTATTTTATAAGAAAACACTGCATTGTTGTATTAAACATACTATATTTGGTATTCACACAGTACAAAATCTCCAACTATAGGCATTTAATTACAAGGTATTCAGATATATGATAAGAAAATATTGGTGTTAGAGGTATTCAGACATTAAGTATCATCTTTTTAAACTATTCAGAAAAGTACATACAACATTTCTATTATTAACATTGATTACATGGCATCTGATTACATGACATTTTGACAAGTACATAAAATATTCCCATTAAAGGAGATAATTCACTCACCCCCATGTCATCCAAGATGTCCATGTCTTATCTTTCTTCAGTCGAAAAGAAATTAAGGTTTTTGATGAAAAAATTTTGAATTTGTGCTTAAAAAATTTAAACTTTGTTATTTATTTATTAAATGACTGATGGTTTCGCTAGATAAGACCCTTATTCATCATCTGGTGTCGAAATATATATACATATATGCGTTTTGTATATTTAACATTTATGTGCATATATGGGAAAATATATGGCACTTACATGAAAACGTCCATTTTTGCCATGTATGTATCGCTGCAGCCCGGAGACCTGCAGGTGGGAGGAGCTTACGCCGCAAGTGGGAGGAGCTTATGCCGCAAGTAGGATGGATTTCACAAATGTACAAGTAGGAGGAGTTTACTCCGCAAGTGGGAGGAGCTTATGCGGAAATCCCCAAGCATGGCTCGGCTGTCATTGAGGACGGCGGTGAATGAGTATTGCAGGAAGTAGCGACAGTAATGAAAATAAACTTTTAAATATTACATTGCTCATCATGGTCTGATTTCTTGCAGCTTTGTTATTATTAATGTGTGTGTCCAATACCTCTCACTGTCAATGAAGTCACGTCTGTAAACCTTTTACCATATATACTTAGACAAGTGATGGTGTTTTAAATTCATCAGGCTGCAGGCCTTATTTAAGCATATTTCTAAATATTAGCTACATATTGTACAATTCTACAGTATCAAGTAAATGAACATTAAAATCTGATGCAATTGGGACTCAGTGAAGTGAATGTGTAAATACATGAAAAACATTTGTCTAAAGGGGAAAAAAATCCCATCCATCTTTACTGCATATATATATATATATTTTAATAATAGCAGACTAATGTTTTTCTGAACGTGTTATAGATAATATTACATTTAACCCCTTAACTGTCACCCCCCCTTTTTGAGAATGGGGGTTAAATGCTCTATTCACACTTAAATGGTTGTAATTCAAGAATTCCTTGGAATATATACCCAAGTTTGGTCTTGTTTTAAAGAAAACACTCAGCAGATTATTGCTGAAGTGAAAACACTTCAAAAAATGAAAGTATGAACAAGTTATGGAAGTTTTAATTCACAGTAAATCAAATATACTGTACTATATATTTTTTATTTTATTTAAAATATATATTTTACAAAATATTTTTACTCTAAAATTACTATAAAATCAAAGCCATAAATCTAACCAAGTTATGTTCCAAATTTGAAGATGATATCACAAAAATTGAAGTTCCCATGAGATTTTGTTTAGGCGTAGTACCAAAAATAGCCACCGGGTGCCATTGAATTCCATTGAATTTAGTTGTGTACATTCTGCCTTAACAAATTAATACATTTCTGTCCAAATATCAATTTTGACACAAAATTTGGAACCTTGAGACTCAGACCTTTCTGACAATATGTGTTTTGTCAAGATTAGAAAAGGTTTTGATCATAAATTATGAAATATAAGGATGCCCAAAAGGGGAGGAGCCTCATAAAATAAGTACCGTTTCTATGGTAACGCAACGTTCAATTATAAAATGGTTTTCACATGATGAATTCTGAGTTTATAAGCTTTCAAATGATACCTAATTTATGATAACTACTAAAATATGTGATATAATAAAAAAAGGCGATAAAAAATATTATTATATTTTAGAGGATAATATATACATATATATTATAATTTTTAGAGGATAATGTTATACTATACTTTTTATTTTTTATTGAAAAATACTAGATTATATGTTTTATTATGAACTTTTAGCATAAAAACAGAAGTTTCAATGATTAAAAGTGGGTGCATCAACTTTTTGTGACAAAAGTCAGACCTCCTGTTATGATGCAGTATTTTTTGGGTGCACTCTTGTCATAAATTCATTAATTACTCTTCCTACATAATTTTTAACACAAAACAGGGGTCAAATATTTAATTAGAAGTCTTAGACCTTTCCAAAAATATATAATTTGTCATAATTAGATTAGGATTTAATAGAAATATAGTGAAGTAAAGTTAGGCGTCCCGGTACTGGGACGGTGACAGTTAAGGGGTTAAATCTCGGGGTGGACAAATTGTGTTTTTCAATTAATAAAATCATGTACAAGTCATTCAGAATTGATTGCAAAATTGTTTATTGTATTTTATTATTTGTAGTCTTTTTTGTTATTAGTAAGGACACTATATCTCATTAGAACTGATCTGCACGCAGTGAAAACTGCAAAATCCAGGGTGGAAGGTTTCTGAATAAATGCCCTGGAGCTCGCCTCGCTTTCCCTTCCCAGCATAACCTGGTGGATACACAAGAAGCACAATAAGAACTAGGGTTTATAGCTGACATTGAACATTTACAAACATTAAGAATAATTTCTCAGCACTGTAGGTCCATGCTAATGCCATGCAAGTGAATGGTGTCCAGAACTTTTAAACTCCAAGGGATGACAAGTAAATTTGATTTTTAGTTTTCCTTTAGACTAACAACTAGTTTATTCATCACCAATTTACACAAAACATACCAGGTGTGCAGCATTTGTAGTCAAACCCACACTCCAAACAAGTGGAGATTGAGTACATCCTCCAGAAGAGCTGTTTGTAGTGAGACGACTTATTTTTCCAGCATGTAACACCTGATGGGGAAAATAAATGAGCATAACATTTAACATTATCAATGATGTTCTTGTTATGCATTTTATTTTTTAATGTCAATATTTACTTTCTAGCCATAAGAAGTGTGCCTGATTCCTGAAACTGCCATCCCCAACTATGTCCCTGAACCTTGAGCAAGCCAATGACAGGGGCATGTAGGCAGCATCTCCTTCTTGAAGAACAACTTCAAGAAGTATGTTCTTCAGCAACACTCCTGATAACTGAAAATATAGCAACAGTTAGCACAGGCAGTTAAAAAAAATGTTAAAAAGCACATTATATAACATTATTCAACTACCTTGAAGATGAAGCATGATGGAGGGTCATCGTCTTTTAACAGCTCATCCTTAAAGAAAAATAAGTGGATTAAAATTGTATGATACACATTTTAAATCATCATTAAAATTGATTTTGCATACCTTGCTAAAAACAGAGGGCACAACTGGGGTTTGGTCTGCTAAAATGAAGTCATTTAAAATGAGCGGACCAATATTATAGTTACATAATTTGAAAGATTGATTGGAGATCATACAATCTCCTATTCATAGTGAATATAACAATAATATTTTCGTCAACTTACATCCATGTACCACCACCCAAGATAAATGGGACTGAAGGTGGCCTGTTGCCTGGAAGTTCTCATCAAATTTTATACTGTCCTTAGGACAAAGTGGACAGTGAAATTTTGTGCACTTGAGGCACTGGTATGCCTCAAGAGTGTCCTGCACATCTTTCACTGATAAGTGAACCTAAAACACAATAACACGCGTTTCACATTTATTTCACTGATTGTTTTGAGTAATACGTTTTATAAAATAATTATGATATTAAAACAAATGTTTCAATTGCATTACATTACATTGTGGATTACACAGAAAAAAGCATAACTACAATGAAAACAAGTTTTAATAGAATTGCATGCATTGTACAATTAAATTAGGAGTTATAATGTCATTCTAATATCAAA